CATTTTACTTGCAGGTCTTGAAAATTGTTAGTATTGCAAGTCTAAAGTCTTTAGGAACAAAATAAACTTTTTTTAAAACAATCTAGACTCATGTTACATTATTGGTTTATTAATACCATGGGGGAGGGAGGGTTCCCTCTATAGAAAAGCACTTTATTAAAAATGAGCCACAAGAATATGCAAATCCAAAAAGCCTGATCAACCTTACGGATTCTGATGCAATATCCATTTCTATTTTTATGATTCAGCTGAGCCAAAATGCTGCAGCCAGGGTTCTGATGCAAATTAAAAATATAGATCTTATCTTTTCTATCCTAGCTTCTCTTCATTGACTTCCTGTTAAATCCAGAATAGAATTTAAAATCCACCTTCTCACATATAAAACCCTAACTATCCAAGCTTCCTACCTAAACACTTTGCTCTCAATCTGCAGGTTTACTAGTGGTCCTTTGAATTTATAAATCTTTCCTTTTTGATAAAGCTTATAGTAAAGAGTGGCTCAGGCTATCCTGAGCTATCTCTATAGTTATGTTGCTATAGGCTATACTGCTGGAGGACAGAGACCATTTTTCATTATCCTGCTTAATTCCATCTCTATTCTCCAATTCTTAATGCTTTTGTTAGTTCAACCACTAACTTAGTTCTCTCCGCTTTTTGTATTCATAGTAGCTTCATCTGGTCTGGCTGTTTGGCTGCGACTCCATCCTGGAGCAAAAGCTGGGCTGCTACCATCAACACCTTAGATTATAGATGAAAGAGCTGGGCTTGTTCTTCAGTGATTAGTGCTGTTTCTCTTCTAGACACAAAGCCATAGCCTCAGCTTATACAGATTAACCCGATGTACTCTTTCATTCCTTCTTGATATGAAAACTGGTTCAGTGCTCGTCTGCTTAAATGTTTCTTTCCCAGAAGGAACCACCTAGTTTACCGTTACCTTTTCAAACAAAGGAAGTATTTATTGATCGATTAATAAATTAGCTTAATGTAGCTTCTTCTGCTACCAAGGTTTTAAAAGTTTAGATGACTAGATTTTCCCACCCGTAATTAGCTAAAGATTTTAATCACATCAATTTTCTAATGTGATAAATATTACAGCAGAACAAGTAACAAGAGATGTAGAACCCATCCTTTGCATTCACCGCATCAGCTCGTACATATGAACACACCCAGAGACACAAACACACAGGCAGGAATGTCAGAATGTTTTTTCCTGGATCTAAATGTGGGGTTTTCATAAACCACATTCTTCCCTCGCCTCTTGTGTCCTTACTGACCTCTCCTAGATTCATGGCAGCCTCTTTTTAACTGAACTGTGATCTCAGTGTTGCCAACACAGCATAAGACAAAATACACAGACACACAGGAACATGAGCTCAGACTCATACACACTTTACTGGGTCAAATGCGGAGCAAATCCTTCACGTTACATAACAGCTGTGCACCACACCAAGCTTCAGAAAGAAAGGGGGGTGCTAGGGAAGGACCCATTCGTGCTAAAAAAATAAGGAAGTGTGTTACATGATTACAGCCGATATTTCACTGCTGTAATGCTCATTTTAGCTCAACCGAAGTTGCATCAGAGCAGGAAGCTCATAATTTCACATCCCCTTATTAACATAAGCAGCATAAATTAAAGCCAGAATAACAGAGGAACTGCTTTGTTCCTTATAGATCAATAAAACAATTGGTAAGAAAAGTGGAGCAGAGGGTGTGTGCAGTGGATTTGCTGTCGACAGTCTCCGTGTGTGTAATAGCTTGCACAACTTTGGCAGACTTTGTAAGACTTAAGAGGAAGAGCTGTCCAAATAGGAATGCATTTGAATTACATTTCCAGCATCCAGCTGTGTGGTTAATAAAGAAAAAATACAGCAATTGTCGAATATTTTTGCATCTAATCAAACATGGGACAGAAATACAATGACTGAAAATTTTGCAAGAAATCAGGGGTTTAATTTATTTTGCCTTAAAAATATGAGCTTAAAGTTTAATTACCGTATATTAAAGTCGCAGGCAAATGGCCATTCGCATTTCCAAATTCTCCCGAGTGGTGCACGACTTTAGACGAGTGAAGAAAGTGAAGGACATCGGTCGATTATCAACGTATTGTTGCGGCGGAAGGTTCGCAAGCAAATTTGCTGTGGCCAGTTTCTCGGAAGCATCTTGCTAACCAGTTAGCAACTTAGTGCTAGTAGGTTCCCAATGGGAAATTCCATTGGGACCAAGTAGCACTAAATTGGTGACTTAGAAACGACACTGTCAAGGAACGCTATGGACAGAGGAAAGATGCTAGAGGAGGAGAGTTTTGTGTCAGAGGTCGTGGATGAGTCCCCTCCCTCATACATTATTTATTATTGGGAGGAAAGCGGGGACAAAGACATTGTGGAAGAGGATGCCAGGGCGGCAGAAGCTTGGTTTGGTGTAGAAGGCTTCCAGCCGTACATGTTTGAGCCCTTGCCTCGCAACGCTGCCAGTTCTGTTAGCTCTACGCCTGCTGAAGACACAGACGTCCATCCCCGTAAACACTGGGACGCAACTCAATGGGAAAGGAAATGATTCTTATTTCAACCGTTGCGTATATTAGCTGCGACACATGAATCAAGATGCTATGACCGAAAAGATTTGATTGACAGATGACCGTTGATATATGATTGGCTGAATTTAGGTGTACAAGCCGACGTATAACTAACTGGCCTGCATAAGATAACGGAAAAAAACCACCACAGATTTTAAGACAGAATGATTTTTATATGTACATTTTCTAACTTTTGGGACCATAAAGAGTCTAATAAAGAGTACATTTATATACATGTTTAAGCCAGAATGATTTCCCTACAACTTTAAAGTTTTAAAACCTAACCCATGAGCAGTAGCTCCTTTTATCTACAGGTGCTGGTCATAAAATTAGAATATCATGAAAAAGTAGATTGATTTCAGTAATTCCATTTAAAAAGTGAAACTTGTATATTATATTCATACATTACATACAAACTCATATATTTCAGATGTTTATTTTGTTTAATTTTGATGATTACAAATGACAACAAATGAAAATCTCAAATTCATCATATCAGAAAATTAGAATATTGTGAAAAGGTTCAAAATTGATGGCCCCTGGTGCCACACTCTAATCAGCTAATTAACTCAAACCACCTGCAAAAGCCTTTAAATGGTCTTTCAGTCTAGTTCTATAGGCTACACAATCATGGGGAAGACTGCTGACTTGACAGTTGTCCAAAAGACGACCATCGACACCTTGCACAAGGAGGGCAAGACACAAAAGGTCATCGCTAAAGAGGCTGGCTGTTCACAGAGCTCAGTGTCCAAGCACATTAATAGAGAGGCGAAGGGAAGGAAAAGATGTGGTCGAAAAAAGTGTACAAGCAAGAGAGATAACCGCACCCTGGAGAGGATTGTGAAACAAAACCCATTCAAAAATGTGGGGGAGATTCACAAAGAGTGGACTGCAGCTGGAGTGAGTGCTTCAAGAACCACCACACACAGACGTATGAAAGACATGGGTTTCTGCTGTCGCATTCCTTGTGTCAAGCCACTCTTGAACCACAGACAGCGTCAGAAGCGTCTTGCCTGGGCTAAAGAGAAACAGGACTGGACTGCTGGTGAGTGGTCCAAAGTCATGTTCTCTGATGAAAGTAAATTTTGCATTTCCTTTGGAAATCAAGGTCCCAGAGTCTGGAGGAAAAGAAGAGAGGCACTTCATCCACGTTGCTTGAAGTCCAGTGTAAAGTTTCCACAGTCAGTGATGGTTTGGGGTGCCATGTCATCTGCTGGTGTTGGTCCATTGTGTTTTCTGAGGTCCAGGGTCAACGCAGCCACATACCAGGAAGTTTTAGAGCACTTCATGCTTCCTGCAGCTGACCAACTTTTTGGAGATGCAGATTTCATTTTCCAACAGGACTTGGCACCTGCACACAGTGCCAAAGCTACCAGTACCTGGTTGAAGGACCATGGTATCCCTGTTCTTAATTGGCCAGCAAACTCTCCTGACCTTAACCCCATAGAAAATCTATGGGGTATTGTGAAGAAGAAGATGCAATACACCAGACCCAACAATTCAGAAGAGCTAAAAGCCACTATTAGAGCAACCTGGGCTATCATAACACCTGAGCAGTGCCACAGACTGATCGACTCCATGCCACGCCGCATTGCTGCAGTAATACAGGCCAAAGGAGGCCCAACTAAATACTGAGTGCTGTACATGCTCATACTTTTCATGTTCATACTTTTCAGTTGGCCAACATTTCTATAAATCCTTTGTTTTTATTGGTCTTCAGTAATATTCTAATTTTCTGATATGATGAATTTGAGATTTTCATTTGTTGTCATTTGTAATCATCAAAATTAAACAAAATAAACATCTGAAATATATGAGTTTGTATGTAATGTATGAATATAATATACAAGTTTCACTTTTTAAATGGAATTACTGAAATCAATCTACTTTTTCATGATATTCTAATTTTATGACCAGCACCTGTATAAGCCTTACATGAAAAATCTTCTTTTAGACACTTTAGTCCCTTAGTTCCCTTCAGTCATAATGAAGCAGAATAAAGCAGGTAGAGCTACCTGCTTCAATAGAGATCAGACGCAAAGAATGAAAACAGAAAGGCATGCTGTAAAGTTAGAGCATGCAGGCCAATACAGCACATGTTATATAAGAACAGACTTGGGCTGAGAAAAGACTTCGCAAACTCTGTGGGAAAAGTTCAGATCGGTACAGCGTACGCGTTACCTTTACGGTACATCAGGTTTTTGTAAAGTTCTCCTTCTCATTTCATCTCTAGAAGGCAACCTGCTCTTTCTACATCAATAACACTGAGCCATATTTAAAATGTCAAACATCAGGCATTTTAGACTAACCAACGCATGAATGAGGAGCTCTGGATAAACCAATTAAACCAGCTAATGGATCTGATTGGTCAGTAGAGTCTTGGATCAATACCAGGCTGTTTATGCGCCTATATGGTCCGAAGTCTTACCTGTAGTATCTGGACTGGAGATAAGTGGAGCACACGGCCTTGGAGACATGGCTTGCAGAACCAAAATCAATGACTTTAACTCTGTATGGCTGCCTGGATGGATCCACCAGCATGATGTTTTCTGGTTTCAAGTCGGCATGGATCAATCCCAGATCCTTCAACTTCCTGAGAGCTGTAGCCACCTGGAAAAGCACAAGGAGATACACATTATTATTAAACTGCACAATTATAAGTTCCCTTTATTTCAACTCGATAAATTATAGAAGGCAGGATATACTTAACTTGAAGTGAACCTATAAAACCCGGCAGGGGACTGTGTTATAAACCTGACTACTACCCTAAAAGGAATCACCTAACAAACAAACACCCAAAAAAAGGTTGTTGGAAAAGTACAACTTGACTTTCCAAAGATACCTACCAGGAGAGATGGATCGATATGTACTTGAAGTGTTTTTTTGTTTTGTTTTTTACATAAAGACCTTAAATAGAGGGAAAGTAAATCATCAGCTAACAGGTGAGTTTTACCTGCTGCAGAATAGGTCTGATGATTTTCAGTGGCAGTGGGCTGAACTTGTTCTGTTTCAGGAAGTCGTAGAGGTTTTGCTCCAACATTTCAAACACCAAGCAGGTGTGGCTGCGGTGCTGAAAACACTCCAGAGCCCGGACCACATTGTGTTCCTCCGCATTTTCACTACTCAGCCGAGCCAAGATCTCCACCTGAAGATAAAATGACCAAATTTCATTAGAATATGACTTAAAATATTATATATATCTATGTTATATATAACAAGCCACTGCTGGCAGTTTACCAAGCCACAGACAATGAAGTTCTCACCTCAATCTGTCCCTGGCGTGCATAGGATGGGTGGTTCTTCAGGATTTTGATGGCCACCACTTCATTTGTCGCCCTCTTCCAGCATTTCACCACCTGACCAAATGTCCCTCGACCCAGAAACTCTAAAACCTCGTAGCTGTTCTTCAGCGAGTAAAGGACTTCGTGCTGCACCAGCTGATAGTCGCCGTCTCCTGATCCGTTCCTGTTTACCGTGGCGCCTGCCGTGACCTCATTGCCAGAGGGCTCAGGCCCGTCGGCTGCTACGCCGACGCCCGTCGCCGCCTCGGCTCTGCTGTGCTGAGTGGTGAGATTTCCTCCACCCCCGACTCGAGCAGGGTCTGCATTGTTCCCAGTGTTGGTCTGCAACATGGCCACTGGTAGAGGAAGTGATGGCATAGCAGGTACGTCCTCCACTATCTGCATGGTTCTGATGGTGTTGCTCTCCCGCTGTCGTTGCCCACCTTCACCTGCCTTCTGTTCACATATCTGGGAGGCACCGGAATCAAGAAGGCTGTTGTAACCTCCTCTTACTTGAGCTCTTCTGTATTCGCCCTCCTCCCCCTCTGCTCCTAAACAGGCTTTAGTCAGTAACCCACACTCCAAGCCTCCAGCTTCCCTCTTAGAAATCTGGTGATCCTGGGACTCAGCCGGTCTCTCCGTTTTAACAACTGGTGGCCCCAAGTTTGGCCTTCCTGGATCAGAACCAGCTGAAGATGGGATAACGTTATTGGGCAATGCAATTCCGTAGTTGACTCCAATCACATATGGCTTGGGCGGGGGTCGTTGCTCGAAGGCTCTGCTGGTGTTATGACTGCGGGGGGCTTCGCTTGCGTGTCTGCTGGTATCACTGTTGCTCTTTCCTAAGGCACTTGTTTGAGCTGAGTGCAGGTGTGATGGGTAGGCCAATATTTGCGAGGCCATACCTGAAAGAAAAGGGCTTGAGTTAATTGTTTGCCGCATTTTTTTTTTATTTTTATAGTACCAAAACATATTTTTCAATTCAAAATGCCAAGAATAGAGTTCTAGTTTTTTTTTTTACAGTAGCCCAACAGCATTGGATGGGAAGCAAAACATCTTCAAACTTGTAAACAAAGTCCAGTGGATTGTTTTTAATTTTCTTTTTTTTGGAATGACTATGACCTGGATGACTGAGAAGCTTCACTAGCGCATTGCAATCTAATTTAATGCTCTTAGCAATAACTTTAATGCCGTCAACAAGTACACATGACTCTCATATATATATATATAAATATATAAAACTGCAAAATCCTTCGTCATCTTTACCGTCGACAGGCTGCAGCCATGTCAGGAATTCCTCATTTTCCAGCCACTTTTATTAACATTTTCCCATTCCCTAGCTTTTTCTCTATCTCAAGCTTCCTTTCCCAACATACGGCTTTATGATCAACCAGAAGCAGTTCAACGCAAACAAGGGGAACCAGTTACCGTATTTTCACGACCATAAGGCTCTTAAAGGTACTAAAAGGCGCACTCTCAGTTATGTGTCCCATTTCTGTATTTAACACACACATAAGGCGCACCGGACTATAGGGCGCGTTTTTTATATACAGGTACATGTCCTCTACTACCTTTAAATACCTCTACTGCGTATTTAAAAATACAGCGGGGGCAAAACTGAGTATGTTTGTGCTTTATTCATGTATTTATTAAAAAGTATTAATCAAACCTGGCAGCTGGCCGTGAGACAGACACATCGCAGATGACAGCGCTGTGATGACTCCTAAATTAACTTAAAATCCTGAAACCTGCCGACGGAATATGTTCGCTTTTATGGGTGCCTGCAGTTTAAATTATTTAGATGAAAAACACCTGCCATCCACCGCGTGAACCCGGAGGCTGCTGATGAAAGGATTTCTGCTGTCGGTGCACCGCTGGTATGTGGGGGTCTGAGCGCCTCCGACAGAAATAGATAATCTGGAAGAACTGACTGCAATTAAGTTTTCAGGTGGCCTTTCTCACTTAAAAACATATTAAAACTACTTTATTCCCCCTGATCACAGCAAATATAGCTGCAAGATTTAGATTATTTAGATGAAAAAACACCTGCCAGCCGCCGCGGTGAAGAGGAGGAGACCCGCCCAGAGGCTGCTGTTGAATTAAGCTTTCAGGTAGAAAAATAGAGCGGGAGCAAAACTGAGTATGATTGTGCTTTATTCATGTATTTATTACAGAGTATTAATCAAACCCATCAAAGTCATCCTCCTCTGTTTCTGAATTAAACAGCTGCGCTAAATCAGACATGGCAGTTTCCCCTTCTTCGCTGTCAGTCACTTTCCGTGCAGCGCGGCTCCTCAGAAATAATGCCGGCTTTTGCAAAAGCTCGAACAACAGAGCCAGCAGACACATTAGTTCAAGCATCAACAATCCATCCTCAAACGGTGGCGTAACTTGCCAGGCGCTGCCTTCCACTTATCCTGAAACTGTGGTCTCTGTCGGTCATCCATCGCTCCCACGCCGCTCGCAGCCTTACTTTGAACGGCCGCTTCACACTGATGTCGAGCGGTTGAAGTTCCTTTGTCAGACCCCCGGGTTAACGGCGAGCACAGCGTTCATTTGATTCACCTTTTTTTTCACATCGGCTGTGAGATGGGCACGCAGCGATGGTGATGCGTGGAAAAAACCACCTGGTCTCCTCACATAGGCTACACCTCCCTCAGCTACGCTTTCATCATCTCCTCATCCATCCAGCCTTTTACATTTGCGTTAATATCATATGTCATCAGAGCGCTGTGTCTGTCTCGCTGTCAGCTCCCAGATCAGCTTCTCTGATTGGTTGATGCGGCGCGTCCAGCAGCAAAACTTCAATTTTTCCATCTCGAGCAGCAGCAGCGTGTTGGCAGATGCTTAAACGCTCCTGCTGCTCAAAACGCGCTGCAGGACCTTTTGCTGCACCTATACGCGCGTCAACCATTTACTTTGCATGTAAACTTGCTGCTTCTGCTGCACCTGCTGCGTCCGGTTCACACCGATGTCGAGCGGTTGAACAGCGAGCACAGGGTTAATTTGTTTCCCCATGTTTTTCACATCAGCTGTGAGATGGGCACGCATGGAGTTACATATTAACAGCGATGGTGATGAGTGGAAAAAAAAAAACACCTGGTCTCCTTACATTCAGCCACTCTTTCATCATCTCCTCAATGAGGTGGTCTCAAAAGTCGCAGTTACAACACACATAGGGCGCACCGCACATTTTGAGGGGAAAAACAGACGTTTAAGTGCGCCTTATAGTCATGAAAATACGGTATATCTGATATATGTCTTTCGAACTTTTTTTTAATTAAAGCTGTTTAAATGCTGAGATAATCACACTTAATTAATTTTAATGCCGATTAAAAAAATACTAATTTCATGACTTTTAATGACACGTGGAAACCCTGAGGGTAGAGGTGAGACCTTCCTCCCACTATCACTGGAGAAACGCTGTGGCTTAGATGAAAAAACAAAACAAAAAAAAAACCATAAAGCCACCAGAGCAAATACAAATGGAGATCTTAATGACACACTTACTAGAAAAGGGAACAAGTCTTCTGTAATAGGAGACGGGGGAAGCCCAGTACACCTACAGCTAGTCCCTTCACGCTACACTATCGGGTCAGTTTCACACAAACTGTCAGCAAATAGAAAACAGCTCCCCAGAGGGAAATATGATACCATCTCCACCTCAGCGGCATCTTCACAAATGTATCAATGATAAAACTCTTTTCTTATTCTTTAAAACATGAACAGATAGCCTGTTCTATATATAGAACATATATGTTCTACCCGCCAGCGCAATTATAACCCAATGTGTTAAAAACCAATAAACTTGAAAGCTAAATGTTAAATGCAGAAGCAAAGTCATATGAGCCACGCAACAGCTTCAATGATGCAACCCAGTGACTTTCCACTGTTACGAAACAAGTGCTCATTTCTCTACCTTTCAAAATCTAAAATGAATTTGTAATGAAGCGTGAATTCCACTTTTCACTCTCTACCTCCAGCTCTAAGTTTTCGCTTGTTCCAGGGAGCTGGGGTTTCCTGGTTTAAAGGAAATAACAGTCTGGTCCTTTAATCTGACGTCTTTAGGACCACACAGCCTGCAAAGTACAGATTCACCGACAAAAATCTTCTAATGACTGTTGCACAGAAAAAAAAAACTTTCTGCAGGTTTTCAAAGATTTTTGTTTGGATTTAAAAAGAAAATTATGACCTTGCCCCACCTTGCTTACTATCCTTTTTATCAAAACCAAACAATACATATTCCGCTGTGTTTATGGACAAAGACACCTTAAACATTTTAGCGCTGATTTAATTAAGACAAAAATTAAAACGTGAAAATAAACAAACTAATATTGAAATTATGGTTTGGTATACAGTACCAATTTGAAATGGTTATATCTTTTTCATTTATCCAGAATGTCCGCCGACTGGAAGAAAAAGCTTCCTAGTACCATCTAAGGAGAATCCACAACAGTTTATGTACGCAACAATCTATTTAGGCGACAGCGTTCAAACAAGGGGATTAACTTTGATTAAAGACTTGATCGTTAAGCTAAGAGTGATACTTGCAATAAAATTATCTTAAGCCAGCCCAGGGTGGGAGCCTCATCTTTGACCCACAGGGTTGTGCTAAAGCTGGGAACTCGCTCCCCCCTGCAATCCTAGCTTCTGTAGAGGAGCAGGGCCAGCTTTTCCTATAACATCATGATTCAACAGATTCAGATTTATTTCTGTAAGCATTCTTGATAGAATGGAAATCATTTCAATTTAGATCTGCCAGAGATAAAAAACTAAAAGTAACCTAATTAGTTGTTTCTTATATTTGATATAATAAACCTCTAACTGAACTAGGGAAATTGAAACCTCATCCTTCTCGGATCTTCCACATTTGGTTGAACTGAGGTACAATTAACAACGACAAGGATTAGGGCTTAAACAATTAATCAGAATAATTATGAGTAATCGATTATTGAAATAATCGTCAATTAATTCAGGAATCGATCGATCATTAACCGGAGTGAAGATACTCTAATGTAGGGATGCACGATATAATCGGCCCCCTATCGGTATCGGCCTGTATCGGCCTTAAAACTGAATATCGGACATCGGCCACCCCACCGATATTTAACCCGATATTTGATCAGCTTCTGAGTTTCTCCTTCTTCCTCAAAAACTTCTTTTTTACAGACTTAAAAACTTCTAAAGACGAGGGAAAAAATATTGATACATTAAAGTATCCCAATATCTTCATATGCTCATATATTGCCATTTAAAAACACCATATCAATCTCTTTTACTAATGAAATATTACTATATGTCATCGTTATGCTACGAAATCCCCCGAAAATTCACGAAATGTTGCCATATTTTTATATGTTGATATGTTGACGCGGTATCGATCTATTTTACTAACAAAATCTCACAAGAGTTTGTAACAGAATGATGAAATTTCACGAGATTTTGAAAGTAAAATAGATCGATACCGCGTTTTTAAAAATCTATTTGATATCAGCATATGAAAATATATTTGAGTATATTATTTTTCAAAGTGTCAGAAATGGATAACAAAACTGCTATTTTCAAAGGCTACTTATTTTTGTCCAGCTTTAACATCTGTATCGGTTATCGGCTACATGAGTTTTAAAATATCGGATATCGCCCAAAATCCCAATATCGTGCATCCCTACTCTAATGTGTGCCTTTAGCTGACAGACAAACCCATTTACAGTAGCAATTATACCAAAATTGTAAACATTTGGCATTTAAGATAAAAAAATCTTTTGAGTTAGCAAAAATTCTTCTTTAAGGAACCTTTTCCTATCTGATTAGCTAATCTGATAAAAAAAATTGAATGAAAAGTTAATCAAATTGTAAAAATAATCGTTAGTTGCAGCCCTAGCGAGGACATAAATCCTGCAGGGAT